TCATCGATTTGTGTTGCCAAGAATGTTGTGCGAATTTTTCGACGATTGTCATGCCATGTTGTATAGAGCCACTTACGAGTATCAAAGATATCTTGCTCGGAAATTTGTGTTAAATCTGCCAATCGACCCCATATGCTATCTGATTTTGAATAGCCGTTGCTTTTGTCATCTAGCCCACGACTTGATAGCTGCCATAAATCCCTCTATATTATCCACTTCTGTCCAATAATCTTTCTTCTTGAGAAACTTGAACACCATTGCTTTGACCAATTGGAATTATATTTGTAAGATATTCGATCGAATTTTCTATGAATTCTGTACGAAATCATTCCCATTTATAGAATCTATCATGCTCTCTCTCCTTCTCTATTTTCTTTTCTAAGAAAGAGGACATAGGTGATGAATGATATCTCTTTCACTGTTTCTTTTCTGAACGAGCGATACGGTTGATTAATTGGGAAAATCAATTAGATGGAAACAGGAAGAAAGACATATCAACAGAATTGAAGAAAATGACAGGTATGTTTGGGCAAGTTGATAAATTAAACTCCGAAAAGATGAATATTTCACTTGCACTACACTTTATAAGGTTTCATGACGCTTTTAACTGAAAGAATATGTCGAATTTATATCAAGAGTCTTTTGCTTTGAAAGCGTATCGTTAAATTCAAGTAAAATTAGTCTTTGAATAATTTGATTGTTTTCTTTGCTTGATATTCTTCAGCTTCGAATAAAAATATTTGTAAGATATAGCTGATTGTTGAATTTTCAAAATTGCAAAGTATGAAAATCGATTGATGAGATATCAATCAATGTCAGGGTTTTACTATCCAAAGGTGAATCAAAGGTACTGATAACATCATCTTGACTGAAAATGTAAAAGTGAGAAATGTAACACAGCTTGATTAATCCATTGAAAATAGATTAAGAGCTAAGTGTAACGTCGATATGATCGACAAAAAAGAAAATTTCATACGTTCTAAAGTAGTTCTAAAGTAGTCGATTGGCAGATTTAACACAAATTTCCGAGCAAGATATCTTTGATACTCGTAAGTGGCTCTATACAACATGGCATGACAATCGTCGAAAAATTCGCACAACATTCTTGGCAACACAAATCGATGATCTTCCAGGCAATTCCGTTTGAACACCCAACGATGATGCAACAGATATAACATACGGTCATACAGTGAGCTCCTGTTCTTCTCAATTCTTTTTCATTCATGATAATTTATATGTATGTATAGGTGGTTAGTAATGCTGCTTTATCAATCATCACACTAGAAAATTCACTCCTTGATAGGACGTGTTTTTCTCTTTTCCTCTTACACTTATATACATACATAGTACGTAATTCTTATTCGTACTTTCTCTTTGTCTGGTACCACGTGGGTACACGTGACCATCAAAAAATATTATTTTTGTCAGCTATTTTTATTGAATAATCAGTTGATAATATGTCAACTAATTATCAAAATCACCATGTTAATGCAAATATGTATCCTAATAATCGCCAAAATTCTTATTCAACAGCTCACATTGTAAGTAACTCATTGGATTTAGTTAACGATTATGTTTATGATCCTAATACACAAATTCATTATAATATGTATCGAAACGTTGGCCAAAATCGTGTTCCCGCACCGTCTGCTACCAATTTAATGCCTGTGAACTCACCAGCAAGATCGGTCCGTCGTATGCACTCAGGAGATTCTGAAGAAGACGATTTCACAACGGTCTCACATAAGAAAAAAAGAAATAGTAATCGTTCTAACAATTATCAACAGCAACGTCAACAACAGAATGATTTTCACACTTCCCCCTCTAACCAAACAAATCAGCCGTTTAGTCAACGTACAGCAACAAATTTAAATCTAAACCGACAGAATTATCAACAAAATCAGAATATATCAATAGAAGCAACACGGTAGGCGCTAACACGGTTCCCTTTTCAACCGTTTATTATTCGTTTTTCATCCAGAAACGTCCCGGATAAACAAGCGGCTGAAGAAGTGTTATTACATTATAAACATAATTATCAAATTGATATCCTAATTAACAATTATCACTCGTCAACATTGAAATGTGGAGCTAATGAGTATGATATTCTTTTATATGTTAAGGATGCAAATTCGTTCACATTTTTATTCGACAAACAAAAATGGCCACTTCAAATTGGTGGAGAAAATTTATTTTTTCCTCAACACCGTCGATTCCTCCACAACTTGCCCTCATTATCAAAAATGTTGATCTTAGGGTCGACATAAACGAACTATCGGGGGATTTAAAAGCACTTTTTCCAGAAATTCATAACGTAGTGAGATTAAAAAATAAATTTCAACAGGATATTAGAATGGTTAAAGTGGAATTTGCATCTGCTACGATTCGTGATGATATCTTAAACAGTGGTAAAATTAATGTTAATTTTAGAAGTTATGATATTGAAGAATATCTTGCGCCAGCATGTGTTTTGATTTGCTCAAGATGTATGGGAATAGGGCATTTCAAAAAGCAATGTACTCAATTAAATGAAACATGTAAAATTTGTGGACAATCTTCTCTCGATCTAAAACAACACATTTGTACAATGCAACCAAAATGTGTTCACTGTGCTGGGAATCAT